ATTCTTCTATGATACACGATAAATAATGTGAAATTATAACTTCATTTATACCTATAAACACACACATGCACAGATTCGTATACAATAAACACAGAGACTTCCAAATACATCACATGATGTTAACAACCTAGACTAAATAAAAAGCAGGGAAATACAAAATTCAAGCTGTTTGCTTTGCCTTATCTATTTCTATTATGCATGGTAAATGTTGCAGATCATATGGTCTATAAAATTACCCACTGTCTGGAGACTCCTTCAGAGTTTCGCCACAGCAGGGGGCTGTGAGGATACATGCAGTAGTAACTCAGTATTCCAGACACTTTTTTAGTTGGACTCGTCATGATATCTGAATGTATGTTCTGCGTGTGAAGCTCCTTTACTTTCTGTGCTTTTAATTCAAGAAACACAAACATAAACAAACCCAAAATGTGTTTGGGGGCGGCATATGGAGGCTTTTAGATTTGTTTCTTTTAAGAGGTTTGGATTTTGAAGGAAATAGAAAGCAGCAACGAGTAATGGTGAATGCTTAAATAAAGATGTTTGATGTTATTCAATGATAGGAACTGTTCCTGATTCTAAGGTTGGGCCCTAGTGTGAGCGTGCAAGATCTCTCAGGTCCCAGAGCAACTCCCAGTTTTGCACATTTTAGGAATTTTAATGACCATCCAAAATTTCATAAGAGAACTCTTGTTAAAATGGCAGGCAACTTATCAGTTAAGATATACAAAACTGTTCCTTGAAATTCAGTCTGGGGATGGAGGGAAAGTGGGGATAACATTATGTGAGGTAGGAGTAAGAATTTTGCTTTTCGTGTAACTAAGGGTTACTTAGTTCTCAGAAATCAACATAGCCAATCACCTTTGCCAACTGTATGAAGCATGGGCCAGCAGGTTGATGGAGGTGATCCTGTCCCTCTACTCTGTGCTGGTGAGACCTCATCTGGAGTACTGCATCCAGATGTGGAGTCCTTGATAGAGGACAGATGTAAACTTGTTGGAAAGCATCCCAAGGGCCCCAGAATAGAAATGATCCAAAGGATCAAACACCTCCCTTGTGAGGACAGGCTGAGAGCTGGGGCTCTGAGAGAAGGCTCCAGGGGCTCTGAATGAAGGCGAGCAGCCTTCCAGTATCTCAGTGGAGCTGTAAGAAGGAAGAGGACAGACTCCTTAGCATGGACTGTTGTGGTAAGACAAGGAGAAATGCTTGCAAATTAAGAGGGGAGATTTAGATTGGGTATAAGGAAAATGTGAGTTTTTTATTTTATGGTAAGAGTAGTTAATCACTGGAACGGATTGCCCAGAGATGTGGTGGATGCCCCATCCCTGGAGACATTCAAGGTCAGTCTGGATGGGGCTCTGAGCAACCTGATCGAGCTATAGATGTCCCTGTTCATTGCAGGGAAATTGGACTAGATGACCTTTAAAAATCCTTTCAAACTCAAATGATTCTATGATTGTCTACTTAAGAAATAATTTTGTCTATATGTCTAGAGAAATGTTGATCTTATCATGGGAAATCTTTCCATTAATCATAGAATCCTAGAATCATCCATGTGGTTTTCAAACCGTCTAAGGGTCAACTTTTGATTTAAAGCAGGAAATTACTGTGAATTATTATGAGTTAATTTAAGACCAGAATTTATACACCGGAGAACTGCTAAGAACAGCAAGTTCATTTCATGTGGTAAGCATGTTAGCAGTAATGTTATTTTTTTTAAAGAAAACTGATTGATAATGGGGCATAACATTTTTAGGCAGAATTAATACGATTATGATGCAAAAGTAGGTTTCTCTTTTGATTGGTTAATTACCTTATATTGTTATTCACATTCTATTGCCTTAAATAATGGATAATAACGTAATTAGCACTGAGTATTATATCAAGATGGAATGGTCTATATATATGTGATTTGTCAGTGAGATTTGTCCAGGTGTATCCATAGTAGGTAATACTGTGAACAATCAGATGAACTATTCCAGCTGCTGGTTGGGCTTAAATAACATTTCCTACCCTCACCTGTTTACTGCTTTCTGCTCTGTGCTCTCAAATGCTATTTGAGTCTTGGTGGTTTTACTCTATGTGCGATCACTTTCTGACTCATTTTAAACCAGGGCCAGTTTGCAAAACTACCACTAACAGTAAATTTTCATTTTTACCTGGGTTTGTTGATATGATTAGGACAACTCCTCATTCAAGAAGGAAATGCAACTAGCAGAACTGAGCTTTAATTTCTGCAACAACTAGAAGTGTTTATGTAATATTTGCACTATGTGGTGTAGATGGTTGGTAAATAAACGTGAAGGTTTTCACTTTGCATCTTCGGTTTGCGCACCCACTTACAGCTGAATTTCAAATCTGTTCCCAGCCCACCTCTATGAATTCAAACAGAGCACAGTTTTGCCTTCAGGTGAATCCATGCCTATTGTGTAAAAAGTTCCCATCTTCATGCTGATTGTACATTGTGTAAATCAGTTGTTTTCTATAAAATACCAGTATGTAAAATATTGATATGCTGTATTCCACAATGGAATAAAAATTATTATGTGTACATAATTTTTGAGACAAAAAGAAATATGATATCATTGTCTTATAGGACAGTAAAAATTAGAGGAGTTCTCAGTATAAGTGAATAAGGCTGGCAATCTCAAAAGAGATTTAACTAGAATTCTGTTTTATTGTAATGAATCAAGAATAAAGGTTCCTATGACTATAGTTTCTTAATCTTATAGATTACAGGAAAAGCAGATGTATATTTTCTCTGAGTTTAGCTTCTTGTTACTTTACATTTTACAAATTTCCGTGGTTCCCCTTCTGTTAATCTTTTCTGTTGTTTTAAAAAATGTTGATGTCCTTATACATAAAATAGGAGCTAGTTTGTTCTTCTCTGTTTTATGAGAACGTTTTCCCCTTTTACTAGTAAAAATATCTGCATATTCAATTTTCTTCTGAATTTTCCAGTATTGCACAGCCAAACTCAACAAAGGGATTTTTCACTGAGTTAGTTTCATTGACTTCAAAAGCTTTATATCAAAGTATGTGTAAAGTCCTTTGTAAATAGATAAGCAGAACAAACCCTTTCCTTAGTGTCATTTGAGACTGGAAGTTATGATGTCCAGGCAGTAATAACCCCACTGACCACGCACTCAGCTACTATAGTGAAGGAGAGTTATCATAGTACCAGGATGGGAAAAAATTTTTATCTGACAGAAGTTTGCTTCTCTAAACTTTGGTATTCCAGATACTTCAGAAAAATGCCAACATAAAGGATATTTGTTAGCATGCCACTAGTATTAGTTCATAGTTCAGATCAGCAACCTTTGTGTGTATCTCAGGGAAACCGTCTTTCAAAGCAGCAAGTCCAGTTCAGGAGAACAGTGATGGCTCACTTGATATGAAAAGAAGGATTTCTCTTTGCAGTAGTTTTCAGTATTTCATTTAAGATAAGATTCATTAAGTCTTCTGTGACGTCTTCTTGTCATCTGTGACAATAGAAATGTCTTGGAGGCATGGGATTAGTTATCCTAAAGATGAAAAGTCAGTGATGCTGATCATTACTATGTCCTCTTATGTATGTAATCACAACAGATACAGCTTAAAAGGAAAGTGTGGCAGCATATTTAGTGATGGTTTTGCGTTAGCAAAATGATGCAGAAGGCTGGAGGGTCAGCTGGCAATCCCACTTTAGGTTCTGGATGGCTAGTAGAGAGGACAAAGTGCTCACTAGGACTGCTGTATCTTGCCCATGCTCCAGTTTCTGTTAATGCTGCTTATGACCAAACTATAGCATCTGCTGCTGAGCCTTTGTTAAATTGATAAAAGCCTATTCTTGCTTTGATAATGCCACTAGAAACTACACTCATCTACTAATCCCTTGGACAATGATGTGAATCATGTCACTTGATGTACCAGATGTAAAAGCTATTTGTTCAGTGTAAGAACATCAGAGCAGTAGTTAGTTTTCTGACTAGGTCCTATCTTAGAATGCCATCCTATGAAATGAAAGGGAAGCCTCTTAAAAAAGTTACGCTGAAAAGAAAAAAAAAAAAAAAAGGATCCTGAGTGTTGTTACAGTATTACATAATATGTGAGTATCTGATCTTGAGCAGTGCTTGTCTTTGATGGGAAGTGAGAACAGCAACATTTTTCTTACAGAGAATTTACCCATGTAAATTGTGCGAGAAATCTTGGGATACTGCTCATGGCTTTGAAGCATCCTGCTAAGTGTACATTCTAGCAAGTTCCAGTCAAACTAATCTGCAAATAATCTCACTTGGAGCAATGGAATCTACTACAAAAGAAGAAAACTGGTGATTTTTTTAAAAGCATTTTGCTTTCAGAATGGCGTAAGTCTTTGCAAGAGAATTTTTATGAACAGCTTTTATGTAGATGGTTTAAAATGCCTCCCTGGATGCATTCAAGGCCAGGCTGGAAGTGGCTCTGAGCAGCCTGGTCTGGTGGTTGGTGACCCTGCACATAGCAGGGGGGTTGAAACTGGATGATCTTTGTGATTCTTTTCAACCCCAAGCTATTCTATGATTCTTTGAAAATTTTCACAAGATGTTTCATATTGGAACATGATAGAACAGATACTGTAAAGATTTTTTTAGTGCACACAGACAGTGCACCCATGACTAATAATAGTTTATTGTAAGAACAGCTTCAATTATTTTGTCTTTTCTGTTTATTAATGGTGTTCTAACTGTTCCTAGAGAAGAGAGGGGGGAGAGAGTACACTTCTGTCTGAGTGCTGCAGCAGTGACTGCACTTTGAAAGATAACTAATACTTGGACTTTCCTGAGTTGATCCAAACCTTACAGTGGTTTTATTCCACCTGAAGCCCCAACTTTAGACTAACATACCACTTGAAGATAATGATATTTCATCGTGCTTTGGTATGCGTTGCCACAGGTAGGGTGCAAACTTGGGACTGGATGCAGTTGTGCCCTCACTACCATCTGTTCCTGAAGAAGAGACCTTATGAGGAGCAGCTGAGGGAACTGGGACTGTTTGGTCTGGAGAAGAGGAGGCTGAAGGGTGAGTTTATCACTCTTTTGCAACTACCTGAAGGGAGTTTGTGGTGATGTGGGGATCAGCCTCTTCTCCTGTGTAACTAGTAACTAGTAACTTCTAGGGACTAGAAGGAATGGCCTCAAGTTGCACTGGGGGGGAGATTTGGGTTGGATGTTAGGAGAAATTTCTAGTCTTTTTTTTCCTGCTTTGGCTGCTGGTTTGATTACATGTCATACCTGTTCTAAAAACTGGCTCCAGCCGCTTGAGTGTCAGAGCAGGTTGTTGCAGAGAGAAGGAAACAGACGGTGCAATCGATCTTCATGACGCCTGATGCACATGACTACATTTCTCCCTGCCTAAGTGGCGCATACAAGGTGATTAAATAATCAACACTATTACCCTGGAGGAACATAAATCCCTGAAGCAGCCACTCAGAACGCTGCTCTCTGGTCCCTGAAGTGGTAGGAGCAAGAGGCAGTGGTGCCTGTTCCAGGCATAAGATGAAACACAAAATGAATTCTTGGTCCCTGGGTGAGCTGATGTCTTTCAACACTTCTACTTGTTTGTCTCAATTACTGCCTAATCATAAAATGCTTATTTTTCCCTTAGTATCAAATGAAATGGACATAGCAGTTAATCTTAAAATGGGATGTTGTGTAGTCCATAGCTTAGTAAGGAAAAAATGGACTGACAATTCCCTTAACAAAGATAGTTTTATTGGTATGTTTAGCATTGCCCTCTAAAATTATACCAAAAACATGTTTTAAACTTTTAGACCATTTTTAAAAATTGATCAGGCAGAACTCCAAATCCAAAAGATAAATTGATTTTGAACATCCAGGAATCAAACTGCTTTTATTAGCAAACATACTGGGCAATGACAGCAATTGCATTTTACATTTTACCGTAAGTATATGTGTGTTTGTAACATCTTCTACAACATTATTCTTAGATACAAATAATGGGCAGTATTAAACTAACTTCATTGATGTTCAGTACCATGATTGCAACTGCAGAAAATGCAGTTTATTTGTACATTAAGACAATATGAAAAATATGGTTATGTCTTTAAAAAGAGATATTCAAGTTTTATTTAAGAAGAAAATTTAACCCTTGTATCTAAGTCCCTTAATTGCTCAAAGCAGCTGGTTTTATGCTGCCAATGTTTATTAGGTGTAACTTGGGGGGGAAAAAAAAATTAAAATATATTTATGTATTTCTGTAATTTTAAAGAAACATCATTTTCAAATTTAATTTCAGAGTAATATAGCAAGAAAGTACTGTAATTGTTCTATCTGGGTGTTTCTAAATGCAGCATAATAACAGCTGAGGGTAGATAGAAACGAAAGTGAGAACTTACAGTCATTTTGTTGTCTCAACAGAGCACTCTTAGAAAAACACAGAATTTAAATTAAAGGTCCTTAGGAATCTACATGAGTTATAGCTGTGCCTGAGGGCTGCTGTACAAATAGTGTGTTACCACAAACTCATATGCATTTTTTGCTATGGTTTTACTTCAGTATGCAATTCTGAAATGAGTGGTATAATAAAAAGTTTGGCCTTCCTCATATTTCTGCCTATGGGAAATTCTTTTTTTGCATGTAGAAAGTCTCACTATCCTTTTGGTACTTACTGGTGTGTAGGGGAAGGATGAATTCATCTTTAAAAAAAAAAAAAAAAATGGGAGAGATGAACTTCCCCAAAATGCTTGCACCTATTTAAAAACCAAATCCCGTGTACTTTTCTGCAGTGAGATTACTGATATTGATCAGGTGATTAACATAACACATTTTGAACTTTAGAGTACTTCTCCTTCCCTCAGGCAGATAATTCTTTGTTTGCCTTTGTGTCTTCATTTTCCTGTGATGTCCATGCAATTTCTTCATTTTCAGTTATTGTACAAATAAATTGACTGCAGAATATGTAACTAAAAAGAGAGGTTTTGGTGGTGAACACTACTCAAAACATTGCAAGAAAACTGCTACCAAGAGACATGAGTTACCTGTACTGACGTTCTCCTCCAGGTCTTTAGCCCAGTCTTGTTTTGATTAAGATCTTGATTAAGATCTCCTACCTATGAAGGTTAGTATCACGTTACCACAACGTACTAAAGGAAAGCAGAATTTGCTTCCCTGCTTGTCAATGCAGCTAACCTTTTCCCTTTTTCCTTTCCCTTTCCCTTTTTCCTCTTTCCTTTTCTGTTTCCTTTCTTCTTCCACAAACGTGGCTTTTGCACAAATGCAAAGATTTTTCTTGCTTTTATTTTGCAGCAGTGATACTTTGTGGACAAGCCAGTATCTGGTGACAGAGATCATGGGTGGAGTACTACTGCAAGGGCCCCTGAAAGCTTCATCTTCCTTTGGAGGTCAGTTCTTCCAGTTTTGCATCATTGAAATACTATTTGGCTACACATCCATGAATTTGCATGTATTTCTTTGTCATTAAATATGTTCCAAGTGCATCTGTCAAATTGTCATGAAGGTATTCAAAAGGGTAGATAGAGGAAATAAAATATATACAATTACAACAATAAGAGCAATGGTGGTGGAGTGATAACCTTTGCTTTGTTTTCTTCAGATTTTGAGATTTAAAGTACAAATCATGCACAATGGACATACATCCCATGTTACAATTATCTCTTTGTCTATTCTACCATCAGTAGCAATATGTTTTATTCTCTCTGTTGCTCATGAATGCTTTTCTAGTGTTGTCTCTCACTGTCCCCGGATACAGTGATAACTATTAGAAACATGAGTTTCATTTGGCTTTTGTATGCTGCTTGGCATATTTGGTTGAAAGACTCAGGAGTGAATTGTTCTGCGTTCAAATAAAACACAGGAGAGTTGACAGCTCTACAGGCTTTTCCAAATCAACCATTTGGTGCAGGAGAAAGAAATTGAATATTAAACATCTGTAAGATAAAATTGAGCAGTGATTTTTCAGCAAATTTCAGTGAATTGGTCCAAATAGAACATATATTGAGATTAATCATTTTAGATCTGGAAGTTAAATTCAATAAACGGTTGCATCAAAATGTTTATCCTTTCATTTAAAAAAAATAATAAAAAAAAAATAAAGGAAGACTAATTTAAAATTTAGAAAAGGTAAATTATCAAAGCAACAGAAGAGATTCCATTATTTAATTGGGTAAGATATTTGTAGTTTGTTTCTATTAGCAGGAAAAAAAAAAAAAATTGTGTTTATCTTTGGCTCTAAAATGAGTACTTCCTTGCTTTCCTTTCTGGTCTATTGTTATTAGCTTGACTTTGGAGATAAGAGGCTACTTTAGTGCCATGATTATTCCCTGTTCAGTTGACTTTGGCTGAGAGTGCTAAACACAGTTGATAGCTATCACCTAGAAATTCTGCATTGTAGACATCGTTCATTGGAAATTGGATGATACCATCAAATCAACTTCCAAGGCATCAGAAAGAATTTATCAGGCCTAATCACACACTCATTTATGTGAATTTAACTCCTGTTTCAGCACTTACCAAAAGGAGAATGGTTCCATCAGTCTGGTCAATACTGTAATTCCTGTAAGGAAATACAGCTTCAGAAAGAAATCTGTATTTGTTTAGCATGTGTTTTGTTTTCCTCTGTTGTGACCATGAGCCATATAGATCATTAGCAGCGCTGAAGTCAATGAAATTAGAGAAGAAAGTTGTAAGTTCAGAATAACTTAATAAGTTGCTGTGTCTAATACTGCAACATAATAGAAGGGTTTCCACAAAGCTCTTTCAAAGACACTAAGTCTTTGAAAAAGACTTGCAAACTGAGATGTTTCTTTGGTTTGAACAGTTATCCTGTTAATTCAAGTGGCAGATCAGAAAAATAGACTGTGTCCAAAATAACATCAGTGATGTCTGAAACTTGGCAAAGATAGCATAAACTTTAAAAATATAAACATGCACGTTAAGAATTGAGGGCTAAGGGCATGTTTGGAGTATTTTTATAGCTATTGCTCAGAATGTTAGTTGCTGGATAGATCACTCTGTTACTAATTCCTATTTATGTAGGCTTTATATAAGCATCTGCTAGGATGTTCTTTCTGCAAATTCCCTTTGGGACTGTGTGTCAGAGTAAGCTTTTTAAGATATACAGTGTACAGTGGCAGAAAAAAAGACCAGAATCTGGCAAAACTCCATTTGATTTGCAAATGAGCTGTATGAGGACACCACCTCACTACAAAAACAATTAAAAAATGCAGTGTTAATGCTACAGGATAAGCTGTTAGAACCAAATTAATCAGTTGTAGTTGATTATATGTCAGCAATCTAAAAAAAAAAAAAAAAAAACAAACTTCCAAATAAAAAAATGTAATGTAACTATGAATTATAATGTCTGTGCAGTAAAATAACGTGGCAAATCACTGGACTGAACTTAATATTTGTGACTGCATTCAATCCTGGAACATCCATTGGACGGAATTGACAAGCATTTTGAAAACTTTTTGTTGCCAGTGTCAGATTTGAGCCGGTCCATTTTGAGATTCTAGATTGGAATCTGAATATTTTTAATCCCATATCTGAACACGTTATCAAACTACTAAGATTGCTGCTTTATATTGAGTTTGAAGTAAAAGTGTTGTTTTTTTTTTTTAACAAAAGGCAGTTCTTTCAATTCGTTCTCTCTGTTCTCTGCTGTTCCGGTCACCTCCCTTTCCACAGGCAGAAAAATAGCATTACATTTGAGTGTACTGAGCACAGAGAAAAATTAGAAATGTTTCTAAGAGAACAAGGTGTTTTCTTCCTAGTAAAAGTCACATTAATATACTCAGAAGACAGCAGCTGTAGTTCTACCAATATATCTCCAAGATTAAAATTTATTATTGATTTTCTTAAAGGAGACATATATCAAAACACAGTGCTCAATAAAAGGAACAATTACATCTAGATGCTCTGGAAAAAGATGTGAAGAATTCAAGGCCAAAACATGGACTAAAATAAAACAGGTAAAGGGGAAATCAAGCTTAAAAACAAGTTGTGACTCATGTAAAAATAACATCTAGGAACTGATTAAGAGGACAACAAATAGAAGCACCTATCATGTTAGGTTTAAGACAGCCTTGGTAGAACTATAATAAAAGTTTTAGTGTTCTAAGATTAATTATTTCTGTTTGTAGGAGTGTTTGCCATTAGTGATTCAGTCTATAGGGCTGCCAATAGAAGTAGAATTTCTTACCCTGCAGCATGCAGTTTACACATAGCATATTTAGTAGGATCAGAAGTAGTAGAGGTAAAATAAACAGTAGAAGCTTAATTCCTGTTGATCCATACGTTCTTAGGCAGAATCTTCATCTACATTTCATTCAGTGATTTCTCTCTAAGATCTACTAAGCAGCCTATCAACTGTTACCCCGTTCAAACAATTTCTGATTTTGGCAGACTGGTTCAAACTGAATACTAGAGAATCTGACTATGTATATTTAGGGAGGTAAAAGAAAGTGGAAAAAGTAGGAAGTGTTTCATGAAAGCAAAGGAAATAATTAGCTGTACAGCATATCATCATATGATAAACGGTGGCATAGCGGTTAGCCTAATAATGCTGTCTGAATCAGTTATATACTACAGACATAAATCAGTGTAATTCCAGGAACAATAAAGTACTATGCAGAAAGCAGTGACTCTTCAGATTTTTTTTTTATACTTCGAAGAGAATTATATTTCTTTCATATTGTGTGCCTTCCTTTTTTAAAAATGAAAAGCCTGCTTCACTTGTGGATGTGAATCAGAACTCTATGATTTTCATCAAGTAAGTAAACAGAGTTATTTCGTTTTTATATAAAATGCCTGTGAAGATAGTCTCAGAGAATTGCTTTGTGGGCAACAATGTTATTTTATATTTTGCTGAACTAGTATTGCAAACATTCAGTTATCTAGTAATGAAAATGTGCGCACAGCCATGATTAGCATTAGCCAGCACACAGTCTACAAAGTTAGAAAGCACAAGGTGGATACACTTATAGAAAAAACAAAACACCTGCAATTTGTAAAGGCTGTAACATGCAATTTGGTTAAAAGCATTTTAAATGGTAGTGGTATTTTCTTATGGGTTTTATTAAGAATCTTCTGCTATTGTGATGTGTGTGAGGGCAGCAGAATTACCTGGAGCTCTGTCAATTTCATAGGCTGAGTATGTTTGCAGAGTTCTGTCTTGCAATCATTATGCTGATAGTTTATAAGGAGTAGCTAATCTTTAATTATGGCATTTGAAAGAAACTCAGATGTATATGCTTACACAGATATTTTACATGTATGAGAAAATACAGATTTTAATATTGCGTGATGTCAAACTTCCGTATTTCTTAGGTATACAGTACTTGTGTTTGCAGTAGGCTTCTCAGCAAAGAAGATTGTTCTCCTTAGAGTCTTGGAGCTAGAAGTCACTTCTTTCTCACTGTGTTTGAAACCAGTTGTGTTTGAATACGTCCTCATGTCAAGACAGCAGCTAAATCCTATATGAAACACATTCATGTATCATACGCTATTCAAGTGGAGAGAGCAACTGAACCATTGTAGTTTTTGTACTTTTCTTGTCGTGGTATCATTAAATGATAAACATTAATTTTATAAAATACAAATCTTGATCTCTCATTCCATTAGCAGAATATGCTTTTAGACCTTTTATTCAACTGCAAGCTAATTTTTTTTAATGGCTTGTGCATTTGACAGCACAATAATAATATGAACAAGTAATAAATATTTTCAAATAGGTAATAAAAGCATAACATTAAAAACCTACCCAAATTCTACCAGAAAACTGTGCCTCTTCTGTGCAGATCATTTGTTTGTCTTTAAGCTCCATGAAATAAAAGGTTTATGAAGTTATAAACATTATGTGAAAATTGTATTGTCAGAGATGGGTAATGTTGGGACTGCAAATTGCTTTTATCCTGAGAGTGAAACGACTGATGTATAGCATATGAGAGTGTAGGACTGGGGAAGGGAAAACTTGGTGAGAAAATTACTGCTTCCAGTTTTTTGACTGAGTGCAACTTTATAATGAGCAGCAGTTAAAAGCATTTCACACACTGATTTCTCTTCCACAATTTCAAAAATCAGGACACAAAGGGTTGGGTTTTTTTCTAAATTTTAAAAGCATGTGAACATTTGTGATTCATGCTCAGTTTGCATACGTGCACTGTGGTACAGCTCTGTGGACAACACCTGCAGTCATCCCCTAGAAGTGAGCAGCCAGCCTGCAGCCAGGCTCACGCTTGCCACCAGCACCACAAACACTCTTAAAGAAACAAAGTAAGATGAATTACAACCTAAGGAGTGTGTAATATTTTAGCTTTTAGAGGAAAAGATTTAGTAAGAGTGAACCCTTACTGTGTACATGTACTGTAAAAGTACTGCGTACTTTTAGTCAAGACACCTTCTATGAATTAGCATAAGAATTATGCAGATAAGCTCTTTATCTTGCTTCTGTGTAGTCTTTGAAGTCTTTAGAAGTTCAGAAATTAAGCTAAAGGAAACTGAATATGTAAGCTGCATTTTTCAGTACAGATTAACTGTGCTAAGTATAGGTATTGACTCACATCTGTATCTAGTGACAAACAGTTCTCCACATGCCCATATAATTTTATATCTAAGATGAATTTAACAATTCATAGTGCATTGGATTCCTTTGAATTCAAATTTATTTTTATTTTCTTAACAACAACAACAAAAAAAAGTTATTGTCATGAACATTTTAGAATAATGCTCTTGTTTTTGAGATGCCCAGAAAAAAGAAAATAAAAACCAAACATTACATGTACTTACAAGCTAGAGGGAGGGAGGGAAATTGGAAATGCTGACAAAGAAAAGAGGTGGGAAACTTATATTTCTCAAAAAGAAGAATTTGAAAGGTCCTTGGTCCCTTTTAGAGATAGCTGCCACCATTTTTTACGCAAATGGTCTATAGCAAAGATTTTAAAATTGAGGGACTTGTTAAAAATACGGAGTAACCTGATGCTTACTCCAAAGCTGGCTTATCTGTACCACAAGGAAATGATTTATCTCAATAATGTGGTAGATAATAGTCTAACAAAAAACCTAACCCACCTCACCTAATTTAATGTGATTCTGTTCTGGGAACACACATTTTCCACTGAATTACATTTATCAAAACAGATTATCAAAGCTTTATAATTAACATCCTAGCAAATAAAAATTAGCATATATTATGTGAATACTGTGTGTTAATCAAATAATATTTGGTGAGGCACCCACCTATGCATGCCCAGGAATTACAAAGTTAATGAAAAATGGCAGTACACAAAACTGTAACTAATTAAGCAAGACACAAAAAATTCTGTAGATGTTTGAGTGACTATGTTAGAATTTACTCATTATCATATTTACATGGTAAATTTATTCCAGTACTGAAGTTTGGAAACTTACTGCAAGCAATTTAAAGTCAACTTGCTATCTCCTGTATGCATTTGTACCCATTGTATTTTTTAATGTGCTTTTCAACTTCTGTATTTTAAATTTAGGAAGTGTAGATACCTAAAGGGTTTTGGTTTAAAAGGGAGTAAATACAAGAGTAAATAATGAAACTCCATAGTACTGTAACACCATCACTGGCATGCAGCTCCTTTGAGTGTTCATTAATGTGTGACACACACACTGTATTACAGGCTCTAAAGCTGCTGCTGTTGATCAGAAAAACCACAGTAGATCTGATGCTGGGCAGTGCTGTATCCTCACTGGCTCCCTGTGCCCAAGGGTGAGGATGCAAAATAATGTTGCATTCGGCCTTCTTATTTTCAGGTGTCAAACTTTCTGAAGTTGTTCTTCCACCTTAGAGAGGAAAGGATAAATAGAGAGGAAATATCACAGAATGTTTTGACCCTAGGTAGGCTGAATTAGCCTGTTATTTGAATTAGTTTTGTAGACACTAAAGTATGAACATAAGAAGCCCCTCACATTTGTAACTCACCAATCAGAGAATCATAGAACCATTAAGGTTGGAAAGAACACTAAGATCATCCGGTCCAACCATCAGCCCATGCCCATGACGGCTCTGGGCCGTGTCCCTCAGTGCGTCATCTACCCTTTTCTTGAAAAGGATGGGGACACCTCTCTGGGCAGCCTGCCTTCACAATAGTTCATTCTCTGCATATAGATTAAATACCCCCATGTGAAATAGAATACAATATAAACCCTACTCTACCGCTTCTTGATATGATGTTTTATGTAGGCTTTATGAGAATTATGTGAACTAATTGACGAGATGATTGTTTGTTTGAATGTAGGGACAGTCAGTTGTTACTCTGTTCTGTAATAAGTGCAAAACAACAACAAAACAAAAAAAAAGACAGTTGGGATTATAAAACACAAATATGTGCAGTGGAAGAGCAGTTTAGATGAGAAACCAGCACAGTTTGTGTCCTTAATTTATTTCCATGATTTTCTAATTCATACTGTGAAATGCTCTGGCTGTTTTAATTAAACCTGTAAACTGAAGACTGTTTGCTTATTTTCTTTCTATAAAAAATATTTTGTTTATAGAGCATATGTAGTTTATTTAGAATGCTAGCTCTCACTGTTCAGATGTATTTGATGTTCCTTTGTATACACTATGAGCTTGTGAGAGTTTTTCTTCACTAAAATGTCTTGGGAAGCAGTGCCTATCTATCAGTTGAAGTGCATCTTTACTGATCATGCAACAGGAATATAGTGAGCAGCAGTCCTATGTGCTGACACCAAGAAGGATGGGACATCATGAGAAACAAAGCTTTCTGATTTTACTGTCTGTCCATCTCATCCTTGATATCCTTTTTATTTTATTTTTTGTTTTTAATTTGATGCTGTTAGAAGCTCAAAGTCAGTCAGAGTGATATAAAAATATCTGCATGAAGCAACAGTCTGTCATCTGAACTCTACCAGAGCATAGAACATCAGAAGATCTACTTGGCAGAGCCATTAGAA